TTTGCAGATGTCCCGTTGCCTTATCCTTTTTTCATAAATATTGACTTATCCCTTCATCCTCGTCAAAAGGAAATATAGAGTATCCATGGAAAATTCAGGGTGATTTCTAATGCACAGGTGAAAGTGACCTGGGAGAGCATCAGTGAAGGTATCTGTTGGGACTAGGTGGTGTCTCAGAGACGAAAAGAGTCCTTTCACTCTCTGTCTTGTCCACAGTGCACATAAAATTGAACTTGCTGGACACTGAATGATGACTTGCTACAGAAGGGCAAAGTGAAGGATATGAGTCATTAAGTCCATTCAAGCATGTGTAATTATATTCTTGGAACTCAAGCCATGCGAAGGCAGCTTCTCTGATCAACCCCAAGACTAAATATGGATGTATTTCTTTGCAGCTTTAAAAGTTTATTCACATTTACAGTTTCTAAAGCTACAAAATGGGGATAACAATAGTACCTATATCACAGAGTTTGGGGGGATTAAATGTAATTAAATGTAACATGCTTATAACAGTGGTTGGGATGCACATTACTATTATTGCTATTATTTAAGGTAACACATTTCTAGGGATGATTCCATTAAGAACCAATCTTACAGTGGTGTGACTGCTTTTCAGAACTTGGATAAATGCACCATTGCTCTCTAGACATATTAAAGAATGATAGCACAAAAGCTGGTTGCCATTTTATTTACCCGTTTTCAGCTAGCTTTAGTGTTTCTTTTTTCTTTTCAGAATATTCAGTAGTTTTTCAACATACCCTGTAGAATTGGTGATATGAAAACTACGGCATCTTATTTTAGTAAAAATGCCTTTGGATATTGCTCTGAAGTCTAAATTACATTATAATTCATTCTATGGAAATATGATTCATGAGGCAATTCTTTTCTCATATTTGGTTGGTATTGCTTTTATGTAAAAACTGAGAAGCTCAATTTTAATTTGAAGAATTATAAAAGTGCCTCTTCCAAACTGGCATGTTGTCTTGCTGCCACTAAATGAGTCATTCAAGGTGAGCATATTCACTTACATGAATGGACATGTGTTAATTCTGTGCTTAAAGACACGATCCAATGGTATCTGGATTGACATGTATCATCAATTAAAAACTATGAAACTACACCATTTTATATAATTCTCTGACCCACACTAATAATGAACCCCACTTAGAATATGCTTCTCACTATAAACTCACTTTCTCTGAATCTTAAAGTCATTTTAACATTCTTTAATGTCAAATATTATTTGCTGACTTAAATTATTTAATCTTTTATTTCATGTTCAAAATACCATGTACCTACCCCCAGGGACTACAAATATCCAAAAAACAGTCCTTGCTCTCAGAGAGCTCATAGTCTCATGGAGAAGACAGACATTTAAACAAATCTGTGACAAGACTATGAGGGGGGTAAACATGGGTATAAAAAGGGCAGAGGTGGGAAACAGTTCTGACTGGAGAAATTACCAAAGTCCTCTCTTCAGAGTATAAGCCCGTCAGCTACATCTAGAAAGATGAGGAGGCTTTCCACAGAGCAAGTGAGAGGCCCGTCTACCCCAGGCAAGGAGGTAAGGGAATTTGTGCTGTGTGGTCAGGTGGTATCAAGGGGCTCATGGGGTGGTCTCCAAATGCATGTTCACAGGCCAAGCAGAAGGAGTTGAACTATAAATACTTAATCCTTCTGAACTACTTTCAAGTTGCTTTTTAGTCATTAGGAAAGATACACAAGATGTGTAATAATCAAGACATTAACTGATAAAGATACAAACATGGGAAATCAGATCACCTGGTTCTCTTCGGATTTCAGTCAGAAAAAATTAAATTACCCATCTTCCAGGCTGTGGAAACAATGTGAGATCACTTATTTATTTATCACCCATGACCAATGTGATTCAGAAAATGACTTCCCTGCCTCCTTCTCACACTTAGAAATGGCAGGTGGCACACACTCAAAAGCCACTCATGACTGGATCAGAAGAGGGGAAGCAGAGCAGAAGTAGAAATCAATGTGTCTGACTGTGAACAATTTTCTAAACCAATTGTTCCTTCATGCATCCAGAGAAAGCAATCATCCCTAACACGTTTCTGCAATTCCAAGCATCGCCTTGGATTTGTTGTTTCTCCATTTCTAGCCAGGGTGTTCAGGATTAGGTTAGGTAGCAACTTGATCCACTGAACACTCATCTGGAAACTTGTCTTGGAATTCTTTTCTTGATGAAGATTATATACCTTGGAACAAAGTTGACACAGAGGTTAGATGTGGGACTACGTTAAGACTTGTCCATAAAGGTATGTGGTATGTGGTGTTCCTCATTCCCTGTCAACTGCACTGTGCTTTAGTACAGCTTGTAAATGATGTTTATGAGAAACACAAACCTTGTGTGCCTCTATTTAATATTCCTGAGGAATATAGCACTTAACCATTTTGCACAGCCCTTGAATGTGGCTGGCTGCGTTCGACTCTTGTCAGTTCAATAAAAGCAATTTGATCACAGCCAAGAACAGCCCTGGGATTCTTTCAGTTGCTTAGTTGATATGTTCTTATGAGAGGGAAGGTATTATTTTCCACACTACCTAAACTCCAAATAATGGACTTAAGGAGAATGAGACAAGATAGCCCTGCTATGGTACGCTGACTACTAGGATGTCCTTGAAAGCTCTCCACCTCTTGCCTTCTGTGCCCCTGAATCATCCCCTTCCCTTTTGTGTGGACTGAACCTTTTGCTAGCCCTCTCTCTCATTCTGTGGCTCTTGCTTGCTCACTTGCTCTGAGAAAGTAAGCTGACATATTTCACATTGCCCCAAGGAGAGGCCCATATGGCAAGGAATCGAGGGTGGCCTCTGGCCAATAGACAGCAATCAAATGAGGTTCTTAGTCCAAAAGCCTTCAGGAAACTGAATGCTGTCAACAACCACCCATGGGTGTGAGTTTGGGAGTGGATCCTTCCTCAGCCGCACATTGAGGTGACGTCAGCCCGTGATCCCTGAGCCTGAGGACCTGGCCAAGCCACTGCCAGACTCCTGATCTGTAGAAACTGAGATAATAAATGTTGTTTGAACTTGGTAAGTAAGACAAGTGAACAGATATGATGTAGTTTGTGGGGGGAGGGAAGAGTCGGGGGGGAGGGAAGAAGAACCGGTAAAGGGACACAAAAATCAACTACAATGTATATTGAGAAGTTAAAATAAAAAAATAAACAAATAAAGAGAAAAGACACTGGGGGAAAAAAATAAAAAAATAAATAAATGTTGTTTTCAGCCACTAAGTTTTGAGGTAATTTGTTACACAGCAATGGATAACTAATACACCTGATTTTAGAGGTGGGAAGGCTTGGGAGTGGGGCACAAAGGTTGGAAAGAGAATCCATATATGTATTTGTGTTTGTCTGAGTCACCCCCAGATAGGATCTTTGTGACAGATGTTCGATATACAGTGTTTATAATCATTTCAACAACCTGGCAAGAACGGTATTATGCAGATATTCCAAATGAAACTGAAGTTATGAAAACTCAGTTCCTTGGCTCAGAACATACAGTTAGAAGATGACAGATTTGAGAGAAAAACCAAAGCCTCTCTTACGCTGAAGCCATGGTTCTTTCCTCTGCATCAGAGTGGCATAAGGCAAGGGTAAGGTTGAGTAGGGTGGAAATCAGAATCACCTGTGGATCTTTTAAAAGCTAGTATGTCACTTTCCTTTTCTGGAGGTCCTGACATTGTTTGAACTAAACCACACTGTGGAGTTGCACCAGAAGATTATTGAACCTACCTTAGCTCAGCCATATCCCATGCAAAAAATAAAAATTGCACATTTCAAGCAGGTTCTGACTGAGGATTTGGCAGGTCTTAGAAACCTCTGTGGTGATTAGCAAGGTGATCATGTGACTTTGGCATTCTTGTGTTAGGTTGTTTCAGTTAAGTTATAAATAAAACAACAGCACCCAGACCTCCGCTGTTTGATGTGTTCAATATATAGTCTGATGTGTGTCAGATCTTACCTCACCTACAACCAAAGGATGGCAAAACGGGTTTGGCTAAAGAAGGACAGTCTGGGAATAGAGTGGATGGGTGGTAAGTGTCCTGTTATTTGGAGGTGGGACTGAGAGAATGAAAAAACAGAAGGGTCTACCACAGTGCTGCAGGTGGGGGGTAGCCCTAGATGCGCCTGTAGTGGCTTTTAGAGCTGAGCAGGCAACTGCAGAATTGATAAGACTCTAAGAACAGGCTGTGGCTCTGTCTCACCAGCTCCAACACCAGGTCCAAGGTCTGTTTTCTATCATCAGTCTTCAGCGATTGTAACAGCTTCTCCACCCCTGGCTCTGGAGAGAGCCAAGGTGAGCCTCTCATGGCTCATGGGTTCTCAGGCTTGCACAGCCTTGTGTCCATAGCAACGGCCTCTTCAGACACATCAGTGAAAGACATCACAATCAACTGACAAAGTCTATAGTTTCTCATGGAGGAGGTGATAGGAGTGGTTTCTTCTTCAATGCCTTCCTGATACCTCATTGCATTTTGAATAAAAGATATTTCTAGAATTGTGCATCACCCAGTACGGTAGCCACTAGCCACCTGAAGATATGCAGTGCTTGAAATGGGGTTAGTTAGACCAAAGAACTGAATTATGCATGTAACTTAATTTCAATTTAAATGACATACATAGCTGGTAACTACTGTGCTGGACAGCACAGTTCTAGAGGCTGTTCTCATAGTTTGTTTGTTAATCTATTTTTGGAGAATATTTATAGAACATTTTCTATCAGCCAGGCACTATACTTAGAATTTTGCATATATTCATCCAGTTTTTGCAAAACCTGATGAGGCTAATTATATTATTTACATTTTCTAGAGCAGAAAGTTGAATCTCAGAGAGACGAGTGGCTTGACTCAAATCACACAGGCAGGAGACAGGACTTAAAATTGTATGGCTTCAGTACTGTGTTTCCTGTACAGAAATATGAGGCTAAATCAACAGAAATGGAGGGTAAAAAAAAATGGAGAGAAGACAATTAAAATATAACCCTTGTTATAATGGGTTGTTTCATTTTATTGCTTATTGTAAACATTTTGGCCACAGCAAAATATGTTAGTTTTTAAATCACCATAAATTCACAACTTTCACATTATACACTATTTCCCCCCAAGAAACATCATCTATGAAAACAATCAGTGAACTCCAAAAGTCTATACTGACAATGTGCACATTTATGCTATTATTACACTAAATACAAATAGTAAAAATACTCATTTATTGTAGGTCTATGGGTTTGTGATATGCCTTAAGTGAGGTGATGAACAACTCAGAGAAGAGAGATGGTATGGACTGAAATGGCTTCTATGCGAGTAATATTTGCAGAACACACGAGGTACGCAATAAATGTTTATTGACAGCGAAGATGATCAGAACTCAGTTTCAACTGGTCTCTCCTCTCCATTTTTCTTAAGGAATATACGGTATATTTGCAACCAACATTCGCAAAATCACAGAGACCCTGGCACTTCAAGCATCGTAGCTGTAGTGTATTTGGGTCTGATCACATTTGCAGAAGAGAAATAAATTAAAGCACACGTACTATTAAAATTGTACAAAAACTTCACGTAAGTCAGGCAGCCCCCTCACTAGAATAGGCTGGGACTCTTGAATGCTTTGCATCTCCATAACAACAACAACAAAAAATCATCAGTGCCTAAAAATCAAGCAAGTCATTCAAAACAAATCTAGCCTTTAGATGTCACTGGCAGTTAGACTGACTATATTTTAATCAGAAGAAAGTATTTCTAGTAGGTATTTGAAAGTAAAATATGCTACTTACATTAACTACTAAGTTTCCTAACTACAAATACAGATACTATAATATATACCTTAAGACATTTCTTTTTTTTTTAGCAAAATGCTTAGCATAGTTTTGGAATTTCATTGAATTATGACGATGATATTGGATTAAACATTTTAGATTTAATTATAAAGTAATACAAAAATCCAATCTATTCTCAATGCTTAATATGCAATTTTTAAATACACAAAAGGATCCACACAAAAATATAAATGTGAAGGTCACTTGCAGCAAAATATGGCATATTAGAATTATTTATTAAATGCTTTTACATCTAAAGGTAGGCACTTCGTAAAGTTCGCATTTTGGCAAAAGGCATCAATTTGATGTCAATATCTTAACCTCTTCCATTAACTGCATAATTTTTTCAAGAGAATAGATTATCAAAATTTCACAAAGGAGAAACAAAAATCTGTCTAGGCTACATTTGAATGGAATTCCACAGAAGGGAAACCAACCTAATTCTCCCCTCTTACTTTTTTTTTGTAAGCCTGCTATATATCTTCATGGTAAAGTTCTGAGTTCTCAGACCTAAAATCCCATGGGAATATTTGATATTTCGTCTTTTACTCTCAAGTGAAGTATTTGTTGCTTGTGGAACCTGATATAATATTTATCCCCACAGTGGAAATAACCTTTGTCCTGATCCACTAAATAAAGCCAGATGATTTTTAGGTGGCAGTAGCTAGTGTTGAAGAGTTCTTGGCTTCAATCTGCTGTTAAGTCCCTTTGATCCTGTTTTAACTCTCTAATTAAATAAATAAGATTCAACTATTCCTGTTGCTTTCATCCTTGAAGACATAGAAATTCACTTCACACCTACCTAAAACATGAGCAGAATTTTTGGAGTCCAATGGACCTATCCACCCTTTGATTTAGATATCCCTTCTAAAGCATTTCTCTACCAGAGAAGAGAGTCAGCCAGGTTCTGTTTGATGTCAGTAACAGGAAGCTTCACAAAGCAATCTAGCCAATAAGAAGGCTCCAATTACTCTTATGCTATAAACCAAAGATCCCCTCCTATAACTTCCATCCAGTGTCTCAAACATTGCCAGGCACATAGTCAGCTCTCAGGCACTCAATATAAACTTATTGATGAATGAAAGAATAATCAATCCTAATTCTGACTTTTAAAGCTACGTAAAGTTGTTTTCTTATGTGGGCCAGCCCATCTATCTATCCTACTCAAATCTTCTCTTTTCCAGGGTCAATACTGAAATTTCCTTCATCTAGTTTTTAAACAACATGTTTGCTAGGTATTTTGTCAATCTTATTACTCTTCTCTGGATGTGCTTAAGTGGATCAGTAGATCTCTTAATTGTGGCACCATAGAACAAAACATGATACTCTAGATGGGGTCAACTCTGAGCAGGGTAGGAATAATGTATCTCTTAGCATAGACATTCCACCTGAAATATTATTTGACCCCCAAAAAGCATTTTTTAGAGTCATTCTTTCCTACCTGTTTCTGAATAAAGGCATTTTATTCCAGGCAAGATAACTAATTGGCACATGTTCTGTTCTGAAAGAAGGGTTATTTCCTCGAATTTCCAGGATAAGGAGGGGGTGGAGAACGCTGTGCCGAAGACTGTGGGGTCGGGGAGTAGGGAGGAGGCAAGTCTGCACAGTACTCCATCTCGTGGTCATAACCGTAAGGGGGTGGTGACACTGGAAAAAAAAGAAAAAGAGCATCAGGCATTTTGCAAATATTTGAGCATCTACTGTGTTGAAGCCATTGGGCTAGATAGTTTGGGAGGGGGCATAGTTTTTGTCTACAAACATCTTAGTTCTATCAAGCAAAAAGTACATGGAGAGAAGAAATGGGAGAAGACATTGGAATCTTGTATCATCATCATGGTGGGCTTTGAATGTCATGGAAGAAGTGTGTTATATGGAGTTATCAAGTTTTTTTTGAATATGCTAGTGAATATGCTTTGAGAAGATGACTCTCTCAGCAGTATGGATAGAGGTAGATGGAAGAAAACGTGAAATAAATAGCATACATAAGGGACTATAAGGGACTCATGACAGTGAGGGAAAAAAAAAGTAAGAAGAGCCCTTGAACAGCCGAGTGCTTAGGCGATAACTGGGTAGTGGAAAAAGAGTTAAGAAGATGAAAGAAGAGGTGGAGGTACTGGATACCCAGTATGGAATTTCTGTAACTCGGAGGGTGGTGAAGCTGTTACAGAAATAATAAGGAGAAAAGAAGGAGGACAAGGAGTTTTAAGGATGAAGGTATAGAATTTAATTTTCTAAATTTTATTTGGAAATTTTTCAGAAATTACTTTTTTCCTGTAACATACGTCAGTGTGTTTTTAAATGACATTTAATTCATTTTATGAGGACTATGTATGGCTGTCTATTTTGTAGTGATCTCAATCCCATCTCCAGGGTTGGAAGAGAGGTACTTCTGAGCTGAAATTCACCCACATCTTCATGAACAGAATCATTCTGCAACATCTGAGCAACCCCTCAGAAACCAATCTGATTATTCACTAGGAGTTGAATTATCATCAGCATCCTGATTCTACTTGGAAATTGACATGCCTTAATTGCTTACAGTAAATACAGCCGAAATCACAAGACCAGTGTCATAATTATGCAAATAAATGGCAAAGCTTTAAGCATTAGAACGGCAGAAAACAAGCAACATTTCAACAAACTTATTTCTAAAAATGTCTTCTGAATTGTGCTCTTCTCAATAAGAATTTGATAGTATTCTGATAAACAGGCATATACAAACATAGGGCCTCAACCAGCATGTAGACGTGAACTATATTTTCTTCAGGATCTCTTTGCCTCAATATCAGGAGGTTTATGATTTGAACCATTTACTGATCTCCCTACATACTTGGAGGATGTGAGGAAGCAGAATGGAGTCACGCTGGAAACAAGAAAGATGGCACCACAGAACTGGGTGGGATGTTCGCTGAGCACTGCTCTGTTGAACAAAGGCTTTGCAAGTCTCTAGGGGTCTGAGCGGGCTGAGGGCACACTCTGTAAAGAAATCAGCAAGGATGCATACAGCTTCTCCCACACCCCTGCAGATGCTCAGAAGCTGGATTACTCCAAGCTCTGTTTTCTACAATGAAATGGAATAACTCCTGTGGAGTCTAAACACACATTCTCTATGCATTACACCCACTCCTCGGCTTCATTAAATCTAGGAGGACTGAGACAAAGATTTATTGTACACTTATCTAAGCCAGGAAAGGAAACACTGCAGCTGCCGTGTAAAATAGGAAGTTCCAGTTAGAAACCTATTGAACTGTTTCTTGTAAGCATGTGGTTCTATGTTGTTTTAATGCCAAAGCTTTGCCCTGCCTCCCACTTGAGGAGCACACACTGATTCCGCAGATTGGCTCTACATTATTCTCTGTCATGAAGCCATGGTGTGTGGTTATCCATCCATTGCCACAAAGCGTTAATATTCTGCCATCTGCATAAAAACTGCTGGAGGACATTTCAGAGAGAATTCCTATGGTTTATGCAGCTGCATGCTGAACATGAAAATCTAAGATATGAAACAGTGTTCTTTCATTCGTATAACCTTTGAATTTTGATAATGATAATATAGTGTAGAAGAGTGGTATTTTGAGGACTATCCATCATGAAATAAACACGAAATAATATCAGCCACTGGAAGACATTTTGAAATAATACTTGTATAATTTTGAACTGTGTTATCTTTCTTGCAGACAATAGCGTTTCACTAGGAAGTAAACTTTTTTTTTTTGGACTGGACTTTTTATTTATTTTTAAAAAATGTTTATTGAATCAAAATTGATTATACATATTTTTGGGGTTCAACATTGAGATATGTTGATCAAATCAATATTATTAGTATTATATTGTTACAAACTGTAATTATTACTTATGCCCCTTGTTCAATCCCTCCCCATACCCCTTTCCCCCCACCCCCCTCTAATCATCCTAGATTTCTCCTCTCCCTCTGAAAGAATAATGGTTACTCTGTTAATTTGCTTCCCAAATGATCTGTCCAATGCTGAGAGGTGTGATTAAGTCCCCCCATACTATCATAGAGGAGATGCCTCTTCTGTCACTCTGAAATGGGCTCTGTGGAGACAGACATCCTCCTACTTTCTTTACCTCTGCTGGTGACTCTCCTTGTGTTAATGCACTCCAGTAGCTGGCGGACCATCTGCGTGGTGGTTGTGGTGCCCAGCTGCCTTTGTGGCAGCCATGGTTATCGTGGTGGCTGTGGTGGGCCACCCACATGGAGGAGATGTTTTTGGCATGCTCCTTGGTGCTGGTGGTGTGCCTGTTTATGGAGAGTGTCCAATCACCAGCTCTATACCCCAGGTCCCTGAGTGGGTCCTGAGGTGATGGTACGGTGTGCCTGGTTGTGGGGGGGTTCTGGTCTCTGGCTCCATACCCTGGGTCCCCGGGAAGGCCCTGAAGCACTGGTGTGGGTTGCCTGGTTATGGGAGGGGTGTCTGGTCCCCTTCTCCATGCCCTGGGTTCCTGGACGGACCCCAAAGCGCTGGCACAGGGTGCCTGGTTGTGGGAGAGGGGTCTGGTCCCCTTCTCCATGCCCCGGGTCCCCAGGTGGGCCCCACGGTGTTGACGAGGTGTGCTGGTTGGGGGAAGGGGGCCCGGTCCTCAGCTCCATACCCCAGGTCCCTGGGTAGGCCCTGAGGTGCTGGTGAGGTGTGCCTGGTTGTGGGGGGGGGGTGTCCAGTCCCCAGCTCCATACCCTGGGTCCTGGGGTGGGCGCTGAGGTGCTGTTGAGGTTTGTCTGGTTGTGGGAGGGGGGTCTAGTCCCCTTCTCTATGCCCCGGGTCCCCAGGTGGACCCCGAGGTGCTGGCAAAGTATGCCTGGTTGTGGGAGGGGGATCTGGTCCCCTTTTCCATGTCCCACGTCCCTAGGAGGGTCCTGAGGCACTGGCACAGGGTGCTTGGTTTTGGGAGGGGGGGTCTGATCTGCTTCTCCATGCCCTAGGTCCCTGGGTGGGCCCTGAGGCACTGGCACGGTGAGCCTGGTTGTGTGAGGGGGGTCCGGTCCACTTCTCTATGCCTTGGGCCCCTGGATGGTGCCCTGAGGTGCTGTCATGGTGTGCCTGGTTGTGGGAAGGGGGTTTGGTCCCTGGCTGCTAGCCCTGGGTCCCCAGGTGGGCCCCAAGGCATTGGTGGTGTGCTTGGATGTGGGAGTGGGGTTCAGTCCCCAGCTCCAATCCTCTGGTTCCTGGATGGGGCCTCAAGGTGCTGGTGATGTGAGTGGGGGGTCCAGTCCCTGTTTCCATGCCTCATGTACCTTGGTTGGCCCCAAGGCATTGGTGGTGTGCCTGGGCTGGAACTAATTTTTTGTCCTTTGCTTACTTTTAACATGGGGAACTTCCTGTGGGAACCAGTACTTGAGCTCTGTGGTTGACCTAAATCCTGCTTTGCTGCTGTTTCCCTAGGGAAGAATTTTTGAGCAGCTCAGGGTTTAATGGTTGACCTGATAGGTACTTCCTGCTCATGAGGTCTGGTACACTTGGGTTGTGAAGAAACTCTGATCTGGGCCTGAGTTTTTTCACTAAACTGTACCCCATGCAATTCTGCATTCCTGACCAGTCTCCTCTGAGTGGTCCTGTGCTGATTGGGGGCGGATCGGCTGTCCTTGCTGTGTCCTAGTGTTCTCCCAGTGGGCCTGTTTCCCCCACCACCCATGCTCCAAACACTTCCCATGGGACAGCGCCTGTGCTGGTCCCTTGCAATGACTCACCGGTCTCTGAGTGGCTCCCCTTTTTCAGCTGTTCTGGCTCTTTGCTCCTGCATGGGTCCACGGGAACCCTGTTAGTGGTCTTGCTGTCCTGGGGGCCACCAAAGTCCTCTTCTCCCCTTCCACCTCCAAGTAACTTCATCTGAAGGGCACAGCTGCAGCTTCTGCTGGCTCCTGCTCCATGTGCTCCAGCATTAGAGCAGTTTTTTCTTTCTCTCATCATGGTTTCTCCTGCCTTCATGAGTTCCATAGGTCTCTCCTCCTCTTCACCTGAGCTCCAGTGGCCCCAGCTTGGCTGGTATTACATTTTTATAGTTGTAAATTTGTTGATTTGTGGGAGACAGTGATGCTGGGGACCATCTATTCTGCCATCTTGAATGGAACTCCTAAAATTTAATGTTTTAACCCACTCAGGCCAATATCTGTAGTTGATGTGGTGGGAAAGCTCATGGTGTTATCAAAACTATTCAACATTATATTAGAAAATTTGGAAACAAGAAAATTTTCCATAATTTTGTCACTTCAATGTAACAAATAATATCTTTATATTCTACTTTCTAGTCATTTGTGTGTACTTTTATCTTTGCAGTCATGTAAAATAATATATACTTTTTCACTTTGTATTACAACATGTTTTAGTCTATTTTGTGTTGCTATAACAGAAATACCCAAGACTGGGTAATTTATAAGGGAAAGAGGTTTATTTGGCTTATGATTCTGGGACAGCTGCATCTGGCACGGGCCTCAGGCTGCTTCTACTCATGGAGGAAAAGCAGCAGGCAGCTGGTGGGTACAAGCAGATCACATGGCGAGAGAGGAAGCAAGAGAGAGAGAGAGAGAGGAGGTGCCAGGGTCCTTTAAACAATCAGGTCTCATGGGAACTAATAGAGCGAGAACTCACTTACTACCTCTCCTCCCCCAGAGAGAGCATTAATCCATTCAT